CAAATGCTGCACCAATATTGACCCCGGTTGCCATTCCCGTTGTAATGCCAGGTTATCGAAACCCCCAAAAAACTCTCAGAATCCTATAGGTCAGGAGTCCTATCCGACCCTTTAGTGATCCTATAGGTTTTTCGTGCTTCAAAAACCAAAAGGAGGTTTCTTATAGGACATTTCCGAAAGGGAATCCATGTTTTTTCATAGGTTAACCTGGAATGTAAGTTATAGTTGCCTAATCTTTCCTTTTTAAAGATCTGCTGAAAGTTCATGCCCTTGCAGCAACCTTTCCCTGAGTTAAAGCCGGTTTTTGACGCGATGGTAAACATTCTGACTGAATATGCATGCAATTTTGCTTTGGGGAACGAATCCATACTTAATTTTTCGTTGAAATATTTGTTCCTGTGGACGGATTCTCGTGAAAACTCGAAGTATTTCTCATCTGAAAAGTTAGGCCCAAGGATTTTCAACACTGCACCGTCTGCGAAGAATCATCCACACTAGTCGCAGAAGTTCCAAGCGAAATCGAATATGGAAGCGTACAACTTCAGAGTTCGTGCTGCAGCACTTTTCCTTTTTTTTTTAGGTACGGAAGGTTGGTATGTGCTGTACACGAATCCCGTCATCAGATGGAAGGTTTCGTGACCCTAGTAGAAAATATTATCACCGAAGACAAAGAGTGCTATTCTTCTATGCCCGTGAGAATGTCTCTTGAGCTGTTCAAGACCCTACTTGATCGGCTGGAAGAGAGGGTAGGACACAAATTTCAGACCATAGACTCTGCTTCAAGACTCCGCAAGATCACACCATCCGAATCCTTGCACGAATCGATGATCATCACCTGAAATTAAAAAAAATCATTTTTCTACTCCTGGTTAGCATGGAATCTTCATGATAGCTACTATACCTCATAGTTTAAAGATGCAATACTATATAATATTCGCACTATACTATACATAGAAAATTCTGCCCATTTTTATTCTTTAGATTGTCATAGAATTCATAGTCTCCCTACATAATGCAGGGAGACTATTAATTATAGGCATAATAAAATATTATTATATTATGCCTATAGGTTTGAGTAACTTCAACCTGATCAGCACTGAAGAGAAAGCATACATTTCTCGACTTTGCAGCAGGAAACATTGGTGGACTCGGGAAATACAATCACATTTCTACAATTTGGAACTACAGCCGGGTTACATTTATAATAGTGCAATGAGCAATTTTGAAATCAATTGAAATCTGCAACTGATATAGATTTATTTGGAAGAAAACCTCTCAGATTTGTCTGATCTGATAAAATTGTAAAATCTAAAGCATGAAACTTTCATTGAGCAACCCTTGCCCTTTTTTATGTAATTGGAAATACTGTAGAGACTGATCTTAGGTATCTGGAACAATTTTTCGAGTCCAGAGAAGCAGAATTTTCGCAGGAAAGCGATTATTATGGAATAAATTTTTCTATCCCTGTGGTTCCCAAGAGAATCCGACTTTCTGGGTCGCTAGTTTTTAAAGTGGTAGTGACGTGGTCCTTGCCCACTCTTACAATCCCATTTACCACAGAGAAGGGAAAGTGCATGTCCTCGCAAACTTTTATCACTACCCGATACATTGTGTTATTCAAGTGCATTTTAAATATTCATTTCTAGCGTTTGCTTGCGTTTGCTTCATGGAAGTATGTGAAAGTAGTATTACCTTAGCAATTTTAAAAGTAATTTTTATTATATGCATTACATTCCCAATGCATGAAACTATAATTTTGTCCTCATCTGCCTGAAGCTGCCTAGTATGAGGCGCACTTCAACTATTGACATATAACGCGTTTCGCGCTTACTTCATCGTCGTCGAATCTGCTGCGTACTATGCTCATTATTCTATGGACCACCAGCTGCAGAAACATATACGTCTGAAATAAATGGATGCTTGGGAATGTAAATACACGTCAACAGCTTCAAATGGAAATGCACGTCTACCGAAGGGGTGCATTGACAGCAGCGTCATGATATCCACCTAAATGCGTCATGATATCCACCTTGTTATACTGATTTTCATGGAATAATGATAGGAACTGAATTCGGAACAAGTTAGGCCCTGGAAACTCTTCCAGGCATTCAAGGAGTGGGACTGGAAACATTCTGACTTCATATTACCTGCCCTACATTCGTGAGAACTTCATATTGTGTTTCCTCCTGCGAGGGTATAACAAAGAGGACATACATATTGTATCCTTCAATTGGAAAGTATAGTTCGCATCGGTTAATTTTAATATTACACCCTTCCACGTGTAATAATACAATTCAATGAAATATGTATACTGTGTATATATCTCCCTCATAAGGGAATACGGAATATGAATAGTTTCTCATATTCTCCATTGGCCCGCATTCCCAAAGAGGCGTAGCACCAATATTACCGAAAAACATTTTAAATGAAAATATTTCATTCATTCAAAGATGGCGCAAATCCTCTCACTCCCTGAGATTGAAGAGCTCATATCTCATCCCGAGCGTCCCTTCCATAGTAAGGAATACCGTTTTACAATAACACCTTACTGGAAAATTTTCCACCCATTTCCAAGGCAATTGGGACAAAAGTGGATCATAGTGGTTCAAGATGGAGAGAGGAATTTCATTCTTCAACCAATTCTTCATGAATGTTCAGATTAGATAACCAGCCGTCCAGTGGACGGGAATATCGCCTATCTCTCTTTATCCCCAGTTCTTCCACGCGTGAGACAGTGTAATTTCATATGCCGAAGAATCACATTCTCGGATTTTTCCGGTCTAACCCTTCAATTCCACCGGGTGAGCGTTCTTATTGAATACAATCTCCAATTTCAAACAATAGTTCTTTCAAGGATTTATCTTCACTTTTACTCAATTATGGAAAAGCCTGCAAAAAGCTATGCTATTTTTTTCACAGGCTATTAGGGTAAGTGTTACACATTCCTTCCCTCCTAACGTTTATGCCCCTTGGGGGCAAGTTTTCAATTCATTTCGACGCCAAAATTGGAAGCCCACATTCACAGAGGCGAAATGTTAAAGGAAACATCGACCCGTGCTCTTGTGTATCCAAGTCACTAGCTGTTCTTATCTAGGCCCTTATCAAAATTGCTCTTTGCCTTCTGGAATCATTCGCTTAAACTTCTTCCCTATCGATAAAAAAAAAGTGAAACAGGACCTCTAGCTTCATTGAAATACCCTGCACCAAGCCAGGGCCTCAACTTCACCCGACCCCACGAAGGGTTAATCCTGGTTCAGGTGTTGAGATCTCCTTTGCCATTGTAAGTTTGATGTGTACAAGTTATGCCGACTAAATACTTCGGAACTTTTCACCAAAATACCAGCCTTTGGATTACGGCGTCCCTTCTACGGGTGCCAACCACCAAAAATCCATAAACCAGCTCAGAGCAAATATTGGCATTGCAAGTTTTAAAAAACGAGTCAGCGACAGAATTCGTATGTCGTTCAACACCATGATAAGTTTTCTCCTCATTCGTTTTGTGAGTCAAATCTGGAAAAAGTTGATAATAAAATGCTGCACAGAGATTCCCCACCTCACAACAACCTCCCCACCATGCTAACATCACTACCGAATGATAAAGGCATCTTTTTGAAATAAACTCAGACAGAAGTGTAGGGTGATGAATGCCTGTTAATTCCTCTTTAACAGTTGCTTTCGGAAATTTGCAGCAAATCTTACTTGTTCCCATTGAAAATGTGGTGTATGTGTTGCGAAATTCTTTAGCAAGGCCCCCTAACACATGTGAACCAAGTCATTTGATCCCCGCCCAGTTGAGTTTGGCACCCCTGCATTAGAGAGAATACAGGTTTACATGGTCTTAGTCGGCAATTTTTACGGTGGANTTTACATTGTTTGCATTGGTGACGTAAATATAGAAACGTAAATTTTACATAAACCAGGTGTCATTTTCATGGCAATCGCAAGAAATTTACATTGTTTGCAAAAAAATTGATATCTTGTTTACATTAACATGCTGCTTGGGTATGAGGCCTTCGTGCGGAATTATCTCTAATAGGGACGTGTCCATGTGCTCTTCCTTGCTTCTTCAACGCCTGCTCATGATATGCGCAATACAGAGGCTACAACATATTGCAGACAGTTCACCTGGACGGGCTAAAGGAAACGCAGAAGGAGTCCTGATGGAACTAAATGCATCAAAATTAGAAGGATTCCAAGGCGAGATTCAGACGCATACTCTAGTGCGTGAAGAATTAGATTTGGCTGCACTGCGGGAACAGGAGACTGCAATTCAACAACTGGAGGTATACCTGGGTGACACTCGGCTCATTTCTGTCTGTCTCGGCGGCATCTTCTCTCAAGGCAGATTTATTGAATACAAGGGAATATTCTTAGAGTTATGTCCGTTACTGCTCTGGCTATCTTCCATTCATGTGCTTTATCGTCAAATTCCGTTGACGTTATTGCGATTCCTGTCATTTTAGGGGCTGATAATGCTGGAAGTCAAGGTCTAAAATTCGACATTCTGAGTTCACAGTTCATTGTGATGTTGTGATTGAATCTGAGATGCAACGAGGTGCAATATCAGCATTACATACATTCGTTGTTGGTGAGCAGGAGGATATTAAGAACGTGAACGAGATTTTCAAGGACCTGGCATACATGGTGCACGACCAAGGGGAGATGGTGGACGACATTGAGGAGCACTTTGAGAATGTCCATCTCAGCATCGAACTGGGCACCGAAGAAATTAAAAAGGCAAAGGCCTACCAGGTGATACTTTCATTTTCACTCACAGCTCGTACTTCATGTTTCTTTGAAAAAAGAATTGAGACAACCCCTAAAATTTAGGTAGCTTTCAACCATATTTCCCTCTTTCATGATTGCAGAAGCAGGTTCAGGCTTATTAGCTTTTGCTTCATATTTCGGCACGATGCCGCCTCAGCTCCTTTGTACTTATTTTCAGTGCACGGTTGTGATAGATATTTATATTATTCTACGTCTGTGCTAATTTTCACATTAATTTGTTGCATATCACTTCCATTCAATGTGATGGACACGTGGTCGAAGAACGATCAAGAATGTTTACTTTTGAATGATTGGAGAAACTGTTCCCTGGAAAATGGGATTCAGTAATTTTCTGCTCCTCGCCGGTGAATTGCCAGATTAAACTCGTTGCATCCTCTATAACTTACTGGGAAAATGGCAAGAATTTATAACATTTTCGCTGAAAAGGCATTTAAAATCAGAATTAAAGCAAAGGGATTAATGCTAACCAAAAAATGGCGAAACCAATTTTTTAATCTGTGACTCATGATTAATAACATATGTACAATAGCTCTTCAGTGGTGACATTGCTGCCACTGTCTACCCTGTCTTCATCGACTCGGCAATACGACTGTATATAACGAACTGCCCTTAGGTTCAATTGCAAAACAAAAACATACAAGTTGAAAGTGATGAAAATGTTTCAAATGCAAGAACAATTCATTTTCCTAATCCTTTCAGGCCTGAATTAAGGTTGCTATCAGAATAATATCCTTTTTCGCATTTTTGAGCTCTTTCTTGCTTGTAATTGAAAATTCGTTATATGTAGTTTTCATATTTTGTATGAATTTACCATATCATACCATATATTACATATCATACATTTAATTAAGTAACTGAAGATAATAAAACTAATGGGTGAAATAAGGCCTCTGATGAAACTGAGCCATACATGATTGCGCCAATTGTAGCGTAATATGGAGCTCAAAGTCACGAGAATCCCAAGATATTGCCATAGACACAATGGAAATGCAATGTCCATTGGAATGGACGCCAGGTCTGAAAAAGCTAAACTGAATGCATTTGAAAGGGTTGGTGGAAAATCGGAAGCAATAAAATTCAGATGATGATGAATGGTAGGCCACTTTTCTTTCCATAAAAATACTTCATTGATTTTCCGATACCATATTCCCCTTGAAATAAAAAGAAGCTTTTCTTCGTGATCAACATATTCACTAATTTACATTCGTTGATCATCGTGACAGTGCAGAAGACCTACGTCGCTATATTTTATCATTTCAAATGATGAATTAAATTGTAATTCTTCGTTTCCAGGCAAGACAGAAGAAGCGCAAAATCGTATTGTTCACATCATGCGGCATTGCCCTTGGACTCATCGTCTACTTCTACTCCCGAAAATAGATTTAAAACTGATATCTGGAGAAACCATCCTCTTCCCATAGTGGGGATCTGAATTTCCCAATGGTCCTGTGCAACTGTGATGAATGCCATATTTGCTCTTCTTCTTGGAGCCTGTCCACATGAAAACGGAAAAGCATATACTTGCGTGTCCAACTCTTCTGGATCTAACCAAGTCTATCGAGACCTCTATTAATTACTGCTGAGAATATACAAGGTGATCGTAAATTCTGGAAGCCCAAATATTTATTAGCGATGCCCATATCATAGGGCAAAAATTATTCCGACTTTGTGCAAATCTAGTTCAACTAATGCGTGTTCACTTGAAATCACAAGATATGCTGAAAGTTTCCCCTTGGACAAAAAGACATAGCTGCACTCTTCTACATATATTTCCTGCCAAACGTTCCAACATGTCAATGGGAATTCCATCCACGATCACTGTGATGTCCTTCAATTCTTGAACAGTATAGGGATTGTTTTTGTAGCACGCTCCTTCACATATTCCATTAGAAATAATCGATTGGTGAGATCTGGGGACATTGGTGGCCAAAGTCCCTTTGAGACCACCCGTTCCTTGAACAAAGCTAGAAAATTTCGCAAGCTCTCATTGGATGCATGTGATATGGCCCTATTGTGTATGGATAAGTCTCAACAAGGAAAACACTATGCTTGAACGTGAACACCATATTTGAAACTGAATGACTTCGCAAAATTCTGGCTTGACACTTGTGTACAGAGAAATCATCCTCCAACATATACCGTACAAATGTTGTACAAATGTTTTCGCTTTTTGAGGACCGCGTTATTGATGGTAAAAATGTTTAAGTAAGTGACTGAATGAAACTCACATTGGATTGCATCCTTAACATTCGGGAAATAGCACATCGACATGTCAGAACCGCACCAAGAATATGTAAGTGGATTTATGCTTTATTTCTATGTGAGCAGGGGACATTTTTGCAAGATTTTGGGGTAGAAAATGTAATCTTAACTTAACAGTGTCGACCGTCACTTAAAAACAGAGATAGTTAACTGTTGCATCTCCATTCTCATGCTCTATATCGTTTTATTCACTGCGGAATGGGTTCCATCCTCCAATTTCGCAGTGCCAATAGCCATTCATGAGGATCATGATGCTGTCGTCCTTCGATGTAGGGACCCCTGGGAACCGAGAATTCCGGAAAAATTGGACTGCTACGCGATGAAGGAAGTGCGAGGAAAGCAAATCATCATTTGGACCATCATTTTCTACCACGAAGAGATTGACCCGAAACTTCACCTTCCTCCTCACCGAGAAGTACAAAAGGATGTGAACAATTTGACAAGCATCTTCAAAGACAGAGGATTCCTAGTGAAAACATACAGGGACCTCAAATACAATCACATCAAGGAAGAATTAAGTGAAAGTACGAACTTTCATAAACAAACTTGCTGAAAAAATGTCACGAGACCCGCGAATAGAATTCTCATGAGAAGGACCTCATGAGGTTCTCAAACAAGGGTCTCGAGTGACTCACTTCATTGAGGTTCGGTAGCAGGGGAATGTCTTATGGGACTCAGATTGCCAGGTATTATGCCATGTCCTTGAAAGCGATACAGACATTTGCCAATTATATAGCGGTAATCATTCTATCCTGAAGAATAGAATTACAAGTAGTCGCCCTGATCTTGGCTACCGCTTCAGTAGTGGGGGCATATACTGGGGGCATATTCTTGGGGGCTGACGTTTTCAAGTATTTTCTTGTCCTGGTGTATTGAGCTAGTGTGAAAGATGAAACTTGGTACATAATTACCTACTGGGATGCTGCATGCAGAAAAATTCAGCCTTTGGAATGAAATGCCCTTGGGGCATGAATTTCAAGGGGAGATGTTTTCACATAATTGTCGTGGTGAATTGGACAGAAATGGAAAGGTGAAACTTGGCCCACGTATAATTGCTATGGAATTATTGAGTTGAGAGAGTATTCAACTCCCCTCCTGGCTTAGCTTTTGGGTGCGTCGGCTTTTCCAAACATGATTTTTCACCAGCGAAAAAGACAAACGTATAATATTGAAACTTTGTGGTCATGTAGTTCACTGAGGTTTGATTTCGGTAAAAATGTTAATTTTCGGTTAAAACGCCCGAGGGCACATATTTTGCAAATTTTCCTGAATTTCTTGATCCAGCAAAACGGAGGGTGCAGCTATGTCTTTTTGTCCAAGGGGAAACTTTCAGCATATCTTGTGATTTCAAGTGAACACGCATTAGTTGAACTAGATTTGCACAAAGTCGGAATAATTTTTGCCCTATGATATGGGCATCGCTAATAAATGTTTGGGCTTCCAGAATTTACGATCACCTTGTATATTCTCAGCAGTAATTAATAGAGGTCTCGATAGACTTGGTTAGATCCAGAAGAGTTGGACACGCAAGTATATGCTTTTCCGTTTTCATGTGGACAGGCTCCAAGAAGAAGAGCAAATATGGCATTCATCACAGTTGCACAGGACCATTGGGAAATTCAGATCCCCACTATGGGAAGAGGATGGTTTCTCCAGATATCAGTTTTAAATCTATTTTCGGGAGTAGAAGTAGACGATGAGTCCAAGGGCAATGCCGCATGATGTGAACAATACGATTTTGCGCTTCTTCTGTCTTGCCTGGAAACGAAGAATTACAATTTAATTCATCATTTGAAATGATAAAATATAGCGACGTAGGTCTTCTGCACTGTCACGATGATCAACGAATGTAAATTAGTGAATATGTTGATCACGAAGAAAAGCTTCTTTTTATTTCAAGGGGAATATGGTATCGGAAAATCAATGAAGTATTTTTATGGAAAGAAAAGTGGCCTACCATTCATCATCATCTGAATTTTATTGCTTCCGATTTTCCACCAACCCTTTCAAATGCATTCAGTTTAGCTTTTTCAGACCTGGCGTCCATTCCAATGGACATTGCATTTCCATTGTGTCTATGGCAATATCTTGGGATTCTCGTGACTTTGAGCTCCATATTACGCTACAATTGGCGCAATCATGTATGGCTCAGTTTCATCAGAGGCCTTATTTCACCCATTAGTTTTATTATCTTCAGTTACTTAATTAAATGTATGATATGTAATATATGGTATGATATGGTAAATTCATACAAAATATGAAAACTACATATAACGAATTTTCAATTACAAGCAAGAAAGAGCTCAAAAATGCGAAAAAGGATATTATTCTGATAGCAACCTTAATTCAGGCCTGAAAGGATTAGGAAAATGAATTGTTCTTGCATTTGAAACATTTTCATCACTTTCAACTTGTATGTTTTTGTTTTGCAATTGAACCTAAGGGCAGTTCGTTATATACAGTCGTATTGCCGAGTCGATGAAGACAGGGTAGACAGTGGCAGCAATGTCACCACTGAAGAGCTATTGTACATATGTTATTAATCATGAGTCACAGATTAAAAAATTGGTTTCGCCATTTTTTGGTTAGCATTAATCCCTTTGCTTTAATTCTGATTTTAAATGCCTTTTCAGCGAAAATGTTATAAATTCTTGCCATTTTCCCAGTAAGTTATAGAGNGGGGTGAAACGTTTTTCTTGAATATATTTTGTGACAGATGAAGATGGCATTCAGAGAGCCTACTGGATTTGCTTGGTTCGGTGGTGTAGTAGTAGCATCTCTGACTACCAAGCAGAAGGTCCGGGTTCAATTCCTGGTCATTCCTTGGCTTCCTTTAGGCTTTTATTGCCTTCCATGTCCCGTTACTCAATCCCCCACCATAACATTAATTTTGGTTGAGTAAAACGGAGAGTCATGGAAAGCTGAAACTTGGCATGGAGGTGTCTAATGACACGATGAGTTCAGGAAAAATGCAAAATTTTAGGCCCATGCCCTGGGGCATATTTGTGAGCCGACGTTTTCAAGTACTTTTTTGTTCTGGCGTATTAAGTGGAGCGGAAAGATGAAACTTGGTAGATAACTACCTATTGGGATGATGCAGAAAAAATTAGACTTTAAACATAAATGCCCTTGGGGCACAAATTTCAAAGGGAGATTTTTTCAACTAATTTTTTTAACTAATTTTTTTGCATCATTTAAACTGATGAACATGGAAAACTGAAACTTTGCATGAATGTGATTGCTGAGACAAAGAGTTACATGAAAATGTTAAGTCTGGATACATCCCCTGGGGGAATTTTTTGAATGGGGGGATGTTTTGAAAAAAAAAAGTTGTGGTGAATTGGACAGAAATGGAAGGGTGAAACTTGGCACACGTATAACTGACATGATATTACTGAGCTGAGGAAGTATTCAGGTTTCATGGGGCATCCCCTCCGGGCATAGCTTTTTGGTGCATACCCATTTCCAAGCATGTTTTTTCACCAGCGAAAGGGCAAACGTATAATATTGAAACTTTGTGGGCCGGTAGTTCACCAGGCAGACAAAGAAAAGTACCTGGCGCACGCATCACTGACGTGATGTTCTTTTAAGGAAAAATTAAACTTTTTTTATACGTTTCCTCAGAGAAGAGCTTTTGGGAAGGTCGCTTTTCCAAATCCTTTTTTTCCGCCAGAAAAAAGGGGAAACGTATGAGGCTGAAACTGGGTGGCATGGAGTTCCCTGAGTCTACATTTCAGAAGAAAGAAAATGTTCTTTAAAACCCATCAGGGCACTTTTTCATTCTCATTTTCCTGATTTCTTTTTTTTTTGATCCATCGAAACAGAGACAGAAAATTTAAACATCCCTCAGAAGTACCTGTTTGATGGCTGAATAGAGGAAACATCCTACTTTTGAAATATGTCTCCTTAACGTAGATTATTGGAGGGAAGAATTTCAAAATGTATTCTCCACCATTACAAGAAGCTACACAAGAAAATATTTTAAGTTAGGCATACATAGAATCATAGAGGTAATGATTTTGATAAAAATCAAGACTTTCCACCCCATATGTCACGTATTTCAATAGGGAAGCATTTTAAAGACGTGTTTCTCATTTCGCAAAAAAATGAGTGTATTAATCACTATCCAAGGTAACGGAGCGCCGACGGCGCGGCCATAGCTAGTAATTTCATACTTTCTACTCAATTGCAGAAAAAGAAGCAATATCACATCAGATCAAATCCATACCCAATCGATGAAATTAGCGGAAACAAAGAGAAGGAAAAGGAGACAGGGAAGAAGGCAGCAGGTGCTGTTACACGGGGGGGGGGGAACAAACAGGAAAAACCCAAAATTTTCATGGTTGAGTAAAGGCAATTTGGAACAACAGCACTTGAAGTCATGTTGATAAATTTCCCTTTTAATATGTCACTCCAGGAATTCTCTGCGTCTCTTCAATGCTTCTAGTGCACTCCTTCACCCGTTGCCTTCTGATGCTATCTCATTGGATTCCATGTGCGCCTCGGTTCCTGTAATTGGGACACATTTGTTTATGACTGATTCAGACTAATATTCATCAGCCATCACTTTAATCTCAGAAAAAGACACACAGAAAAGACTGACCTGTTTTCATGAGTTACTTGGTAATATCCATGGCATAAAGATTCTCCATGACTCATTCCATTCCCTCAATTTGATCCATGTGTCTCAAGAGGCATGACCACTGAAACAGAAGAGATATTTTTGTCATTTCCATATAACTACAAACATTTCAGTCGTTTTTCAAATGAAAATAGGCGAGATTTCACAAAAGAAAAACTAGAGATATTGCATTGCTTGGATCACCGACGTTTGAATTTTCACAAAGGCAAATGTTCTGAAATTCTTAGTTGACCATACTGAAAGGACTCTTGTTATTGAACTTGAGAAATGCGTCTCCTAGGACGCAGCAATAATCATTTTCATGATCTCTTGCATTCAAAGATGTGCATTCAAAAATACGGCAGAGAACGAACGGGATGGGGAAACTCATGAAAGTTTTTTGAATAATGAGAATAAATCGATGCGACAGAAGTTCCTCTTGATGCTCCATACGCCGTCTCAACCCTACTTGGTTCATATCCTAAAATCAATATATATTTCAGCAAAAGCAATTGGAGATACAGTAAACAAGAGTGAAACTAAATGAGGCATAAAATCGATTTCAAACAATACCGCCCTGTTTTTTGTGAGGTTCATGTGAAAGGTCATGCCGCTTCTTAATGAACAAGATCCTCATGATGAGCTGAGATGGATGAAATCATGAACAAATATGTCGTTGCCTTCGTTCTCCAGGAAATCCACTACTGTCATGTCCCTAATCGCATCCCTGAATCCGTTCATGGCGGTATCAAATAAGTTTATAGTCAGCTTAACTGCATCATTCGCGAAAGAGTATCATGTGAAGCTCACTCAGTTTCGAATTCAAAATGTTCGTCACCATTGGAGTTGTTCTCTCCCTGCTTGGGGGCATCTGGTGGATCCTCTTGAGCATCATCAGGGTGTTTCTTCCCTTCTCCCACCAGAACCAAATCCAATTCAACCAGCGATGAAATTTTTAGGGACTCTGGGAGGTCTGAAACTTCTGTAAATACAAAGAAATCAATAATGGTAGCTACTAATCAAGTCTTCATCATCATCAACGTTGCCATCACTGCATAATATGTGCCACTTTTTTGTAGACTCCAAAAGAACGCACTTACTCAAGGCCTTAACATTGGTGAGAATCCATTGGTTCGGCTTCCCGAGGCTCTCCAGGAGAACCTTTATATTAATGACTGATGTTGACAAGGGAATCTCCGAGCTACTGGCAATCACACAATGCGTGTTAGCTTGCACGAAGAGGGGTCCTGCATCAAGAGAAGAACTTGCATTCATGTAGTGTTCATGTAGTACCATAAACCTCGGATCACATTGTTTCAACGGACAAAGGAGAATTTCGCAACTAATTGATATGCCCACCTTTACTTTCGGCCTTTCTTAGCACGGCTGACTGTGTTTTCAAATTATGCTGATAAAGTGCCTGCTCAATCCTTGCCGCTTCGCAAAGGCTGTCTGTCAGGTAGGCTATGGGGACTTTTTTCTCTCCCCTGCAGCGGCCGTGGTGATGCGAAGTCCCATCAGACATCGATCGACATCGACGGCCTTTAAGAAACAATTCTCAGCCGTCAACATCTACATTAAGTCGTAATTATTTAATGGGGCCATCTTCTCCTCACCTCATTGGAGAATACTGCCGCTCAGAAAGGTTGATTAAAAGATCCTTCTGTCACTTCCATCGGGTTTCCGAGAATGATCCTAAGCCCGAAGTTTCCTGTTTGGATTTTTTTAGTTCCATGGCCTCCCAAGCAAATCTGCACGTAATTTCTCCACTCTCCGCTCTTTTCCGCATTCTTCAACTTCATGTATGGCTTGAGAGCATCTTCATTGATACACTCGGTGAACTCACGCACAATAAATTCCTCATCCTCCTGGGCAATGCTGCAAGAGAATTTATTTGATTGATGAATGGAATCAGCATGGAAAGGGACATATACATTAAGATTGAAGTGTTCGGCCCACATTGAAGAAAGTTCTGTTACATCGATGAAAGGTATTGTTCATATGCTATACTAGCGAGTTTGTTAGCCCGAAGGGCAAACAAACTCGCTATGGTCGCGTATTCGACGCTCCATGAACTTGAATAGTGTTTAGTTCATTTATTCTTTGTGAAATGGCAAACACGTATTTAAAGTACGTCCCCATTGAAATACGTGACTCATGGGGATGAAAGTCTTCATTTTTATCGAAATCATTACTTCTATGATTCTATGTATGCCTAACTTTAAATCTTTTCGTGTCCCTTTTGGTAAGGGTGGAAAAAATATTTTTAATTACTTTCCTCCTATATGCTAAGGGGACATATGTCAAAAGTAGGATTTTTCCTGTACTCAGCCATCAAATATGTACTTCTGAGGGAATTTTAAATGTTCTGTCTCTGTTTCGTTGCATTAAAAAAAATTCAGGAAGTTGGGGCTTAAAAAAAAGTGCCCTGATGGGTTTTAACGAAATTGATTTTTTCCTCTGAAATGTAGACTCAGGGAAATCCATGCCACCCAGTTTCAGCCTTATACGTCTCCCCATTTTACTGGCGGTAAAAAAATATATTTGGAAAAGCGACCCACCCAAAACCTGTGCTGTGAGGAGACGCAAAACAAAAGTTGAATTTTTCCTTACATTCAACATCACGTCCGTTATGCCTGCGCCAGCTGTTACTTTGCTATTTCTGACCGATTCGCTAGGATATTAAAAATACTTTGAAAACATAACTTCCCTTAGAAATATCCCCCCAAATAATTTCAATAATTTGGAAATTTTCATTTTTTCTGAGCTCAGTGTGTCAGCAGTCTCGTTTCACCTTTCCATGTGTCTCCGTTTGATTGAAGCAAAGAGAACTATTTGAAAATATGTTCTCCGAAGAGGTGTGCCCCAATGGCATGTATCACTAAAGTAGAATTTTTCTCTCTTAGAACTTCTCTTAGAACTCAGCATGTGAATAGAAGCTTATGTCAGTCAGGCAGCTACTCACGACTCTCACTAAATAATAGAAGTATAATTTTTTCTTTACACGGCTATCCATCGGGTTCTTCTTTGCCAAGTTTAAACTTTCTCGCGCCCTCTGCTTCGCTGGATCGGGAAAATTCGAGAAAATACGCAATATATGTGCGCTGGGACGTTTTAACCGAAAAGTGCATATTATTTTGTGAAAATGTGAAAATGGGAAATCAATCCTCAGAGAACTACACATCCACAAAGTTTCGACATTATGCGTTCGCCCTTTTCGCTGGTGAAAAAAAAATGCTTTGAAAAGCCGACGCACTCAAAAGGTATGCCCGGAGGGGATGCACCATGAAAACTGAAAACACCCTCTACTCAATAATACCATGTGACTTATACATGTGCCATGTTTCACCCCCATTTCTGCCCAATTCGCCACGACAAAATTTTTTATTTAAAAACATCGCCCCTTGGAAAAATTCCCCCAGGGGATGTATCGAGACTTAAATTTTTTTTAATTCCTTGTCTCAGTAGTCACATTCATGCAAAGATTCAGCTTTCCAAGTTCATCAGTTTAACTGATGCAAACAAAATATTTGAAAATATCTCCCTTTGAAATTTGTGCCCCCCATGGCATTTACTTCCTAAGTCTGAATTTTTCTGGACGCTGCATCCCAATGGGTAGTTATGTACCAAATTTCATCTTTCCACACCAGCTCAACACGTCAGGGTAAAAAAAAAATTACTTGAAAACGTCGGCCCTAAAAATATGCCCCCACATCGCATGGATCTAAAAGTTTACATTTTTCCTGAACCCATCGTCTCTGTAGGCATGTCCATGCGAAGTTTCAGCTTTCCATGTCTCTCCATTTCACTAAATCAAGACAATTGTTACGGAGAGGGAATGAGTAACACGACCCGAAAGGCATGAGAGGCCTAAAAGTCAAGGAACGTCCAGGAATTGAACCCGGACTTTCTGATTGCCGGTCAGGTGTGCTACCTCTACACCACCGAACCCGAGCCATCAAGTCCAACCTCTCCATCCCATCCTAATCCGTCACAATATATATCTTTAAAAACGTCTCCCCCCAAAATGTGAACCCTCAGGGTATGAACTTCCAAAGTCGGATTTTATCTGAACTCTGCACCCCAAAAGGTACATGCGTACGAAGTTTCAAATTTCTAACTTGTCTAGAACATGGCTAGAATTAGCGTCCGTCAGTCAGTCACGATCGTCTATATACTAATATTGGGGGAAATACAGTATGGCCATTTGGTCTATATTTCCCCATTCACAATTCAAACAGGCTACATTTTCGGTGCGCGCCTAAATTCGAAGGAAGGATCACGGAAGAGCGTCTGTACGCATAACAATGTGATGGGTTTTGTAGGCAGTGTTGCCAACGTTGTCACATTGATTTCATGAGCGACCCGAGGCAACACAGGATGATCTTGTGCATCAGCGGGATATCCACCTCAGATCATCCGATGGAAATCCTCATGCAACGCGTGATTCCCATCCGTCGTATGAACTCCAGAAAAATTTCGGGCAAGTAACTTGAAAATAGGTGAATATCCCACATGCTGTAAATAGATATAATTCACACGTTTTTTATATTATCTTTCCAGGTATTTTTATTGCGTATATTCCCAGAAACTTACGCAACGTTTTTCCCCGGCACCTGAGTTATTTCCCACTCTCATGTCCCCCAGACAAATTCGAAAAACCAGGCCAAGATTTCCCCTCCCTCCCCCCGGATTCGGATATAGATCCATCTGATGACTTATGATCAGGTTTACCGAATAAAGGACTGGCTGAGAAAAGCCGGAGTGTTTGAGCTCACGGACCTCCATGCGACCCAGTTTCAGCCTTATACGTTTCCCCTTTTTGCTAGCGGAAAATAAATCTATCTTGAGAAGCGACCCACCTAAAAGCAGTGCTCTGAGGAGACACACAAGAAATGTTGTAATTTTCTTTATATCAATATCACGTCCGTTATGCGTGCGCCAGCCACTTTTCTATTTCTGCCCGATTCTGTAGGATATAAAAACGTATTTGAAAACGTTACATCCCTAAGAAATATGAATTCCAAAAATATTTTGGAAATTTGACGTTTGGCATTTGAGCTCAGTGCGTCAGCGGTCACGTTCTTGCCAAGTTTCAGCTTTTCATGTGCCTCCGTTTGATTGAAGCAAAGGGAACTATTTGAAAATATGTTCCCTGAAAAGGTGTGCCCCTGTGGCATGTATCAACAAATAAGAATTTTTCCTCAACTCAGCATGCGACTTATGTCAGCTACACACGAACGTTTATATATAATATATCGAGTTTGTTTGCCCGAAGGGCAAACAGACTCGCTATGGTCGCGCCTTCGGCGCTCCATTACCTTGAATACATAGTAATTCATTCATTTTTTGCAAAATGGGATACACGTGTTTAAAGTACGTCCCCGTTGAAATACGTGACATATGGGGTCGAAAATCTTGATTTTCAAGAAATTCTTTACTTCTATGATTCTATGTGTGCCTAACTTTAAATCTTTTCTTGTTTCCCTTTTAGTAAGGGTGTAGAATACATTTTGAAATACTTCCCTCCAAAAATCAACGCTAAGATGACCTATTTCAAAAGTAGGATTTTTTCTGTACTTAGCCATTAAATAGGTACTTCTGAGGGAAGTTTAAATTTTCTGTCTAAGAATTTTTTCTTAACGGAGCTATCCATCATGTACTCATCTCATCAGGTACTTAAACATCAGGTAAACTCGATGGAAAGGGCTATGACGCGAGGGCAAGGCTTACCACATCATGGACATAGAATGGATTCGCTTGCAGCGTGGCGTTCTGCAGTGCCAGGTCCATCTTTTCCACCTCTGTGAGGAGGAAAAGATGGACCTGTGACGCCCATGTAGATTGCACACATGTACGTAACTTTCTCAATGGCGGTCTCCTCGTAGATTTCCATTTTCGCGGCTATGATGTGTTGGCCTGCCCCAACTTCGTAGAAGTACCCATGCTCTATGGAGAATGAACAAATACCGGGTGAGAAGAAAAAAACGCGCCGCTCTTTGAGATTCATTGGAATTCATGACATAGAACAGCACAGCAAATTTTTTAGCAACGACTTCTACGTATCCTTGAAATGTCCTAAAGTTATTGTTCGTTTTTTCTCCAGCTGCTTTAGCAGGAGCGAAAACGCGAAGGCAACTGGAATTTTCTTTTGCACAAAGAAACGTATCAGCGGAAGAGCAGTTGATAGGCGTGGAGCGCACAGATTATCGGGGCCAGAGCTCCTCCAAATCCCCATGATAATGCTGCTCTTTGCGAAAAGATGGGGCAGCATT